TATATATATATAGAGAGAGAGAGAGAGAGAGAGAGAGAGAGAGAGAGAGAGAGAGAGAAAGACCGTTTTCAATATTTATCTGCAAAGATAAAAAGAACACAATGATGATGAATATAAAGTTTCAGCTGGAGAAAAAAAAAGATTTCAACACTAAAATCTTGCAAAAAGGTTGGATCAAAGTATTAAGCTCCACAAGTTACTAAAGCGTAGCTAATAGTTTGTAGTCTGACCAAAAAAAGAACCAAGAACAACAACAACAACAACCTTCGACAAAAGCAATACCAACAACCACAACACTGCCAACAACAGCACCACTACTACCACTACCAGCAGCTACAACAAAAACACCAACAACAACCAAGCCACCAAAACATACAAGAACCAAGCACCAAGAACAATATCAACCTAATAATAACATTACCGACAACAGCACCACCACCACCAACAACAGCAACATCAACAGCAACAACAAAATTACCAACAACCGCACCACCACCACCAACAACAACAACAACAACAACAACATTACCAACAACAGCACCACTGCCACCACCACCACCAACAACATTACCAACAACAGCACCACCACCACCACCAACAACATTACCAACAACAGCACCACTGCCATCACCACCACCAACAACATTACCAACAACAGCACCACTGCCATCACCACCACCAACAACATTACCAACAACAGCACCACCACCAACAACAACAACATTACCAACAACAGCACCACTGCCACCACCACCACCAACAACATTACCAACAACAGCACCACCACCAACAACAACAACATTACCAACAACCGCACCACCACCACCAACAACAACAGCAATAAAAACATTACCAACAACAGCACCACTGCCACCACCACCACCACCACCAACAACAACAACATTACCAACAACAGCACCACCACCACCACCAACAACATTACCAACAACAGCACCACTGCCACCACCACCAACAACAACATTACCAACAACAGCACCACCAACAACAACAACAACAGCAATAACAACATTACCAGCAAGAGCACCACTACCACCACCACCACCAGTTACAACAACAGCAATAACATTACCAACAACAGCAATAACAACATGGCCAACAACAGCACCACTATCAACACCCACAACCACAAAACTACCACCAACAATACAAACAGCAAAAACTCCCCAAACACCACCACCACCATCAACAACATTACCAACAACAACAACAAACATTACCAACAGCACACACTACCAACACTAGAAAACAACATCAAGATCACTACCACC